CTTATCTAAAAATTATCAGAAGAAAAGAAAGTTGTCGAGAAAAATTATGCACTCTTTTGTTTCAAATTTTAGGAAAATGGAAAAATCTTACGTAAACACATACAGCGAGAGCAGACAAATACAGGGTGTCCCAATAGAAAGTGTCCTATCTAGCTCTATTATTTCTCCACCGAATGGTTTATTGAGAACAAACTCTTCAAAGAACCATTTAATCGTAAGCTTTCTTAATTACTTTCCAAATTTGCAATGTTTTCAAGCACCTCTAATGAGAGTTTCGTTGGCAAATATCAATGTTTTATCGAGTTATCTGGCTTATCTATTCCCGTTGTCATTAGATTCATTTAATTTTTTTTTCAGTTTTGGATCTACAATCTTCATAATTAAATCCTGTCAAGATTCCCTGCAAAAATTTTACCTGATTAATTCCAAAAATTGCATAATGCTAATTCTCTGTCAACAGGTGACTCGCATTTCCTTTCCATACAAATTGAGATAGGAACATGCAGTCCTAAAGTGCTTAATATTCAAGTTACAGGGTGTCAAAACTTTACTTTTATTTTCGATTTTTGTCAATTATTCCCCAATGAAACGACACAGCCATCCGGAATTACGTACCTCAATTTTTGTCTATTCCCACCTCTTGAGTTTCCGTTTTCTTGTAAATTTCTCTAAATAGAGAAAATTGAATCTAGAAATAAAACATTTTGTGTCTACTTGTCTATTAATTTCTTCTTTCTATTTCTGAATTTTTTCAGTTCAATTTTTATCTGTTTCCGGCTCTTGAAATTGTCAAAATAAGAAAAAATCGAGAGCCTGGAATAGAAAAAACATTAATTCCATTTATCTTTCAATTTTGTCTTAATTTAATTTAACCAAGGTACAGACGGATGTGTGTAAATAGTCCTTAAGGCTGCATGTTGTTATCTGAGTTTTTATGGAAATGCGACGTCTGTCACCTGTCAAGCGTTGTTGGTGGAATATCCCGACACCTTGTATAAGTGGGTTTCTAGATAAAAAAAGACTATTTTTTTCAAAAAAATTAAATCATTTATTTATTCGCGTGCACCACTATTATAATCGATTCTTATATTGGCCGACTCCATTTCATAGCGCTTTGTTGTTTCTAGAATTGTCTAGAGAATTTGCTTCCGTTTATTTCGAATTCGCTGAAATATTACAGGAACTTTCTGGTCATCAAGCAGTGTTGCACGATTGAGGATAATATTTATCTTCTTTAATTTGTTCTTTTAATGTTTTCTTGGTAAATATTCATTTTTTATTCGGCATTCTTAGGGCCGGTTTCTCAAGGTGAGTTCGGAATGGTTGAAAGTGTCGACACTTTTTACACTATTGACACTATGGCTTTCATTAACTGGTAGGAGTGTTTGGTGTACAATGTGTCCCATTTTGGTTGTCCATAAGGGATAACTCGGTTGCTACAAAAGTAGACCTGATAAAGATAAACAAATCCAACTTTATATCATTGAAATCAGCATAAGCAGAGCTATCCAATGAGAACAGGGTCTCTATCCAATGAGAACAGGGTCTCTCATTTGAAAAAAACGTATGTTAGGTTCATAATTCAAAAACTATCATTTCTGGATAAAAACTGACTTCGCCAATGGAATCTTGGTAGAAAGATCTATAAGGACTTTGCATCTGTAAGGAAAATGAGAAAGGTCTCTTTCTAACACATTGTTTCTTATGACAAAAACAGATAAAAATGTTTTGCTCGAAAACAGTTAGAGATAAATCTATCGAATTTTATATCATTGAAATCAGCAAAAGCAGAGCTATCCAATGAGTCTATAATATATAGGGTGATTCATTCGAAAAAACGTATGTTTGGTTCATAATTCAAAAACTGTCACTTCTATAGAAAAACTGACTAGGCCTCTGGAGACTGCGTAAAAAAATCTACAAGAATCCGTTGTGACCTTTTCGATCACTTATGAGAGAACCAAGATACAAGAGGTGTCCCAAAAGGCAACTTTTCCAAAAACACCTTGTATCTGAAAAACAAAAAGAGCGAAGACAATTATTCTGTTGGCGCCATCTTTCGTTTGACAAAAAAGTAGCCAAGTTCGCGGAAACCGCATCCTTCTTACTCCAATAGCAACCGAGTTATCCCTTATGGACGACCAAAATGGGACACACTGTACACTTTTTATGCGTTTGAAAATAATTTGGTGTCCGAATGGTGTGGAGATGGTGGAACACCGTTTTCACCGCCGATTACACCTTCATCACGTGATATAACACTGCATTACACGAATACTGCACTAGCACTGCACTAAAGTCCCATTTCGAACTCAACTTCAATAGCAAATCACCCCCGAGTTAAGCATAACTTCAGAGTAAACATTGCAACTGGACACGTTTAACCTGGAGTTAATACCAACCCGGTGGTGACTCGTTATTGAGAAACCGGCCCTTAGATAACCTCAGCCTCTATCTAAGTTTTTTCTTCTTTTCAATCGAAATGTTTAATTTATCTTGGCTTGGTTTTGCTTCTATTCATAAATTTCGGTCCCATCCATCAATGAAATCTTTCCCCTTTTGAAATTGCATCAAAAGCCACATTGTACGTATGAACATTTCAAATTCACTCTAAGTATGTGGTTAGTAATCGTCTTATTTCTCTTCTCTTGTTATATTTCTTGTCTTTTAGTTTGTATTGTTTCCTCTTGTCTTCTCTTCTTGCATATCCTCTTGTTCATTTTCACTTACTTCTATAATCAACTATAAGTACAGGGTTGGGAAACAATTTTCTCTACTATATGGTTTTTGGATGGATATATTCATATAAATTCAAAAAAATATCCACAGAAAAATCCTACCAGAATATTGTACAAGAGGAAAAAAAAACAAACATTTTGTTAGTGACACACACAAACAGAACAGAAATTCCCAACAAATGTTTAATAAAGGACAAATAGGTACTTATACAACCGTTTTCCAATAAACTCCTTCTACAGAGAGAAAATTGAAATGAGATTATGAAACCCATAACTAAAATGCTCTTGAGGCGTCGGAAAGTTCTAGAAGCTTATCAGAAATTTCCCAAATTTTCTTAAGCGCTCTTTTGATATATCTATTTGAAATTCTGAGGTCTGAACCTGTTTTAAATTGTTCTAAGATGTTTATGAAAGTTTCAAGTTAGGTAGTTCTAAAGTGTCATGTAACGATTTTCCAGATATTCTGAAAGTTTCCAGTTCTATTTAGATTGCTTAAAAAAGTTTCATATGATTTATAACATATTCTAGAGCGTTCCAAAATAGGTACTTCTGGAAATTTTAACTTGGATCTACACCTAAAGTTTGAAGTATCTCTAGGTTTTTTAAATGTTTCCGAAAGTTCCGAAGTGTTCTTGTCCGTTCTAGAATATTTCTGATATCTTAATTTGATTCTAAAGTGTCCTGTAGCGTTTTACAATGTTCCTACAAGTTCCAATTTCTCCCAAACAAACTCAGGAGGATTGAAAATTGAAGTCTTCTGAAGCTCATCAAAGTTTTAAATTTATTCTAAAGTGCTTTAGAGCGTCTCAAAATGCTTAATTAAAAATGTTCGAAAGTAACACGATCGCATTCTGAAGCTTTTCGAAATGATTCCTAAAGTTTTCAATTGGTTGCTTGCTTATTGCTCTTGAAGCGTTGGAATGTTCTAGAAGTTATCAGAAATCTAAATAATATTCTTAATCGCTTTTGGGGTTAGTTCTAATTCGAACTCTAAATAAGTTCAGAAGTGTTTTAGAATGTTCTAATATGTTCATGGAAGTTTCAAGTTAGGCTATGGTCCGAATATAACCAAACGTTAACCAAAGTAACCGAATCGGTTGACAGATGGCTACTGAAAATTCCGGTTACTTGGTTAACCAGATTTCAGGAAACCCAGGTCCAAAAGTAACCACTTTTCCAGGAACCAGAGTAATTTGATTACTTTCGGACAACGAAACCACAACCCTGGTTATATTCGGACCATAGCCTTAGTTCTAAAGTGGAATGTGACGCTTTTCAAGATATTCTGAAATTTTCCAGTTCTAGATTGTTTCCAAATGTTTCATATAATTTGTAAGGTGTTCCAAAAGCTTTCTAAAATGTTGTTGAAAATTCAGAAATGTTCTCGGTTGTTATAGAATGTTTCTGAAATCCTAAATTGGTTCTAAAGTGTTCTGTAACGTTTTACAGCGGTTTTTGAAGATTCCAATTTGTCTCAAACAAATGCAAGAAGATTGAAAATTGAATAGGAAGTCTTCTGAGGATTATCAAAGTTCTAAATTGCTCTAGAGCGGCTTAAAATTCTTGAAGATATTCTAACTTGGCGCTTGCGCATTCTGAAGCTTTTCAAAATGCTTTCCAAAGTTTTTAATTGGTTTTCTATGATTTTGAAGCGATGAAATGTTCTATAGGTTATCAGAAATCTTCCAAATATTCTTAGAAGCGCTCTTTGATACTTTTATAGTTTTCTGTTCGAAAATGTTTGATTTTGATACATAAAAATGGGTATAAATTAAAAACACAAAAAATATCCACCAAAAACATCAAAAGTCCAATTCTCTATCCATTTAATACATTTAGCCGGTTTTTTGCCAACCCTGCAACTGCGTATACTTTCATTTCTATATGATAACATCCATTGTCATTGAAAATTACATCCATTTTCCTGTTTTTCTTCTACCTCTAAATTGTTTTGAAATATGAAGTTAACATTACTTGGACTTCGGACTTTCAGATTCATAATTTCAAAAATCCGCATGTGTACCTATTTGAAATATCATTTGGTTTCATTTAAACTTGGGTGTAGAAAACAGGGAATTCCTTCCTTCCTGCGTTAGAAAAACACCTCGATTTCCATGCAACATGCAGGTGATACTAAGCAGAAAATCAATTTCCTAGGAATTGAGAGAAAATCTAACTTTTCAAATCCTTGAAACTCGACCACCGTTTTTCTCGAACCCTGAAAAGCGTTACCACCATGAAGAGTTATTGAATAAACTTTTCTGTTTCAGAACTATGTCAAACCGGAAAATAACCCAAGAACGAAAAAACCATGTCCGAAAACGCCTCGACTTCGACGAAGAACCAAAACTTGAACCAGAGAACCATGAAAACCATTTTCTAGACCTGTCCAAAATGACGGAACAACAAAGAATGGAGCACAGGCTAAAGTGGAACTTCGATTTCGAAAACGAAGTTCCACTGGACGGGGACTGGGAGTGGGAGAAGGTGGTACCAGAACCACCTAGCAGGACGGTAATCGATCACAAGCACACGGATTTGGTGATAGAAATGCAAAAAAAATGTAGTGATGATCGGAATGTTTAGACTGATTTTATATTTTTGTATAAATTTGATTGCAGTATTTTGGAAAGATCGCGTGCAATGATTGTATCTAAAATTAATAGTTTGACTAGTCAACTTCAACTTTGTGTTTTATTTATTTATTTATTTATTTTGTAGTTTAAGGCATTATAATATTAGTGTAGCCGGTACAAAAACTTGCAAAAGTATATTCTGTACCTCATACAGCTAAAATACCAAAAATTGTATATAATTTACTTATAAAAATAAACTATTTAAAGTAGGTAATCGAGACTTTATTTTTCTTGAACAGTTGCAATCGGACATGTGCGAAAAATTGAAGTGTGCACTCACGAAGAGGACTAATGACGTCGCACAATGCACCCACAGAGAACCCATACAAAGTATAATACATGCAATTTTTCACAGCGGGGCTATTTCCAGTTCAGGTAATCCTTTTTCGGACTAGAGGGTGGCTAGTTTGTATATTTGATTTTGAAAGCAGATGTCTTTAGCAAAGAGTTGACTACCCAAAAACATCACCAACACAGAGTGATTTCAAGCTAGGACTTATAGGAAAATGTGAATCCTTTTCAATTTTTGAAATTCGTAGAGGAAGAAATCGAAATATGCGATTTTTTGTTTAAAATGCTTCAATTTACCAATTATTTTTATATATGTTTCATGATTCTTGAGCTGTTCAGGGTTGAAGTTTCGAACATCATTCTGACAAAAATTTTCTAAGGCTCAATTTTTCGAAGCACTAGATACATAATTCCGTATCTACTTCCGAGATTTTTTGAGAAATTTTTATCTTCTTACTTATTAAAGTAGATTTGTTGGAAACTGATGGCCAAGTGAATCAAGAGCATGTAATAGTCCATATTTCAATTAGGTACGTATTATCGGCTTCTAATGATCGGACAATAATTTTTTTTTTTAAGGTAAGTTATCTAGAATGGATCATTGTCCAAATCTTGATTATTACCGGCTCTTGATTCGCTGAACACATTGTCTAGAGAAAATCAAGAGCCGGTAATATAGCCCAAATTTCGATTATTGACCTCTATATGATTGCTTTTGGAAAAACTGTCCACCCAAACAAGAGCTGGTGATAGTCCAAATTTCAATGATTACTATCGGATCTTGAATGGTTAGACAATTTTTCTAACGGCAATTGAAAATCGATAATAGTATTTCCGGCTCTTGATTGGCTGGACAGGACAGAGTTTCTAGAGAAAATCGAGAGGTGTTAATACAGGTCAAATTTTCTTGATCCTAATTGCCCGTCTATTACAGAAAAAATGTCAAGCAGATCAAGCTGCTTGAAATTAAAGTTTTGATTTTTATTTGTTCTTGATTGGCTGGAAAGATTGTCTAGAGTCTAGAGTCTAGAGAAAATCCAGAGCCGGTAATTTAGTCTTATTACGTTTCATATCGTCTCCTGGCATACTGAAATAAATGTTGCCTGGTTTAGACGATCGAATCTATTCACGGTTTATGAAGAAATACTCTTACACCCTTTACTAACAAAAAGTTATTCGTCGTTGTTTTAAAATAACGTAACTGACCTTTGCCACAATCTTTACAATTAACATACAAAAGTGATTAAAATAATAATAAAATTTAATAATGCAGTTATTTATTTGTTAAAATTGAAAGATAAATATATTTAAATGAATCTTTTTATCTTTGTCCTTGTTTAATGAACATAAAATATTCATGCTTTTGTTCTTGTTTGAACAATCCCAGATTTGTTAAGAAAATGATTTATTGTGACATTTTTATTATGTTTTTATGTAAAAAGACAACAAATTCAATATTGCGTTCCCTCATCTATCAAGAAAAATTAATTGAAACCTAAATACCAACCGCACATCATCTAGTCCAGATGTTTGAATTTAAAAAAAAAAACACATTATTACAAATCTGATAAAGGCCCTTCCAAAGGGTTTATTGTGTTTAACCAGGTACCCGCATGATTGGTATATTTGAAACAGTTATCAGTAGCATATCAACCCTTTACATTTTTTTTTATAAAGGGCAGCACGTGTGTGTTCGTGCCAGTAGTAACGACAATTATAAGGACTTTTTTAAAATCATTATTAACCGATTAGGTAACTACATATTCCCATTGGCATAAAAATGTTAACCCAAGTAGATAACTAACTGCAATTTTACCAATTGTACCGTTTAGTGTTACAAATTGCTCTTCGCCGGCAAATAATAATTATTTCTGGCGCTTTTCATCCGACAAACCCAATTAAAACTATTGATGATTTTAATTGTCATAATTAAGTTAATGAATGTGACCTCCTCGCGCACTGAACTCAACGTGCCATAATTAAAATTAATTTATCGTACATGCTAAAAAAAATGTAATTTGTTTGTGGGTCATCCGATCCGTCCGAGACCCTTAGGGCGTGCCATATGCCTCCGATAATTGAAGCCCTACAAACCCTCCTAAAAGAAAAAAAGTTTAAATTTCGTTTAATAATCATTTTCTAGTTGAATGCAGAATTTAGCCCTCTGAAATGAGAGATTCTATCCCATATGGCCGATAGGTGCACAAAAGACAAAAGGATGTGTCGATGATCATTTATTTTTGGCAATTCTACTCGTTTGTTTGAGAGGGATCGAATGTCAAAAAATGACATATGGCCGGGACGGTCGAACACACGTGATGGTTACAGCTTGAGGGGGCAACATGTTTTTTGGAGTTTCCTAATTGGATTTTTCTTCTGTGGGATCAATTTTCGGCTATCATAGGAGAAGAAGAGCGAGTTTTCATTGATTAATTTCGATTTTGTCCAGCCACTATTAATGGATACCTCTAATAGATGATAATTTTGACTATTTTACTAACGACTCTTGTTTGCCGTCAGAAAGATTGTCCAGTCATAGGGATCATAGTTAATTCAGAATTTGGATTATTCCCGGTTCTTGATTTCCTCTACAAAATGTTTGTATCCAATCCCATTAAGAGCCGGTATTAATCAAAGTTTGAATTTTCACCAGCTTCATTTGCTGGACAATACTTCTATGATAGAGTAAAGGGGTACCAAATGATCATGATTTTGGCTATTGACGATTCTTGATTGCCGTCAAAAAAAATTTCCAATCACAGCGATCATATAGTCAATATGTCAATAATCCAGAATTTTTAAACTATTACCGGCTCTCGATTTCCTCTGGGGAAATTTGTGCATCCATTCCAAGAGCCGGTAATAACCAAAATTTAAATTTTTACCAGCTTTATTTGCTGGATAATTCTTCTATGATACAGTAGAGGGATACCTAGTTGTCATGATTTTGACTATTGACGATTTCTTGATTGCTGTCAGAAAAATTGTCCAATCACACCGATCATAGTCAATAATCCAGAATTTAAACTAACCGGCTCTTTATTTCCTCTGGAAAATTTGTGCACATAATTCAAGAGTCGCTAGTCGGTAATAATCAAAATTTGATTTTTTTACCGACTTGATTTGCTGGCAAATTCTCGTATGATAGATTAGAGGTGTACCTACCTTATAACCACGATTTTGACTATATTAAAATGATTCTAAATTTCCGTCAGAAAAATTGTCAAACCACAGCGATCATAGTCAATAAAACAGAACTTGAACTACTACCAGTCCTTGATTTGCTATAGAAAATTTGAGCATCCAATTCAAATTCCAAGAGCCGGTAATAAAGTAAAATTGATTTTTTACCAGCTTGATGTGCTGGACAATAGACCTATCTATTTTACCAGACAAAGAGGTAATAATACGAGAACTTTATCAGATAGAAAAAGACGCAGAACACTTATTGCGCAAGACGAGGCAAAACGTACCAAATTATGTTAGACTTACGTATAGCAATCCGTTCTTATTATTTGCACGGGATAAAAAAGGAAGGAGGAAAACCGCGTGACGTGCAACGTATTTGTCAATCAACAACACAAACAATTGAAAATGGATCATTTGTCAAGCTATGTCAAGTTGAATATCAAGCATAATTTTATCCTTGACAGACCACGGGCAATGAACAAGGACAAGGAGATGCCCAGCGTGTGAAAGGATTACTTCACACCTGTACTAGTTAGCCAATAAAAATGCGTTGCCTCGTGTTGCGCGCGCATACAGGTAAAAATAGATAGGTCTATTCTTCTATGATAGAGTATAGAAGTATAGTTCATACCAAATAAACTTGTAGTTGTGACATCGATGACGCCATTTTTAAAATCGTTATCGCCAACCGTGAAAATATTCGTTGTCGGATTGACTTAATTGGAATTTGAATTTCCCGCTGGCCATTCAGTTGGTAACACCACTTCAAAAAATGTAATGTTCTTGACATTTTGAATTTTCATTGCGTTTTGACAGTTTACGAGTTTTTGGTTCAAGTGCTATTAATTGTGAGCTAGTTTTTCAAAAGCAGCTCGTTGTAGTGCGAAGTGTACAAGATGCCGAAGCAACTTAACAGCCGTTGCAAAGAACCACAGGAACTAATCGCATCCTTGTTACAATATTTCAAACAGGGACGCGATAATAATTGCCCTTTATGTCCCTTAAATGCTGTTAGGAAGGTGAGTTTACAAGTCGTTGATGTCGTGTGACCAAATAGGAATTTTCAATTTGAACTTATTTTTTCTCTTATTTTTAGCGCGTAGCAGAGGCTTTGAACTTAAGTATGCCCACTGTCTGTGCTATTTTAAACGTAATCAAAAATAACGAAGCTTTGGAATCGCCTTCTAAGAAGCGATGCACTTCGAAGAGAGTCTGTGATGTTTCAAAGCTCGATAGCAGTGCTATACGTAACACTATTTACGATATGTATACAAAAAGTAAATCGGGACAAAGGTACATAGATATCTATGAATCGCCTTCTTTCTTCTTGAAGGACAACATGTAATACTATCCTGTATATGGAAGCAATTGAAAGCCAAACAATTATTTGATGGCAGTCCTCTTTATGTAGAATGTTAAAAGAAATAGGCTTCAAATGGAAAAAAAATATGACCCAAGACGAGGGCTCATGGAACTTCCTGATATTGCTGTTAAACGCATATCATTTTTGAGGTCTTATCTAAGACTGAAACAGGATGCTTTGTACCAGTATGTTTTCTTGGACGAGACTTGGATTTTTCAAAATGGTACTATTAACCGCTCGTGGCAAGACAACAACAAGCGAAGTGTTAAAACCACAAAAGTTGATAGTAGAAGGTGAATATGAACATGAATACAGAGAGCAGTTGTACAAATGAAATGCTTTTTTCAGATATATCAAGCTTCATGTTGGCAATGAAAAT